TGCTCACCAAGTTTGCTGTAGTTTACAAAACAAACAAAACAAAAATCAGCTGGTGGCAAAAGTACTAATGTACATGATGTAATGTTCATCACAAGGTTATGTGTCAGACATTGTTTGGCTTAGACACATTAGCTGGCACACTGGTTTCTACAGATGATTTCACTGCTGGCAGAAGCACAGTGACTGTAGATGTTTAGCAAAGTGTGTTTACTTTTAACCACAGCAGTTTCGTGAAATGTCAGCACAAATCACCTGTTTTCTTTACCTTATCCAGCTTCACATCCTATAAGCGTGAAGCCCATTTCCATGTGGGGACTATGCTAAAAGTGCATATAGCACAGTTCTTGCTCTATTGCTTAGCCGTCTTAAAGCAGTGAGCTCCGTCCACTGTCATCAGTCACTTTCTTAATGATCCCACATCAACACAGAAAAGCTCCACCCTTCCACCTAATGGTGCGTGTGGTGTTTAACTTTGGGTGATAAGTTTATAATCACCCAGTACCAGAATCTGAAAAATGAGAAGTCCTTCTCTGCAACCACAGTATCAACTCATCACTGCTGTACTGTTTGATTTTTAGATTGTGCCATCCTATCTCATGTTCCGTGTTTTCAGCACGTGCTGTTCATACTTCCAGCCACAAGGTGCCACCAGAGTCCTTCAGAGCTGCATCTATGCTTGTTTTGTTTTTTTGTGGGGGGTTTTGTACATCTCACATCCTTGTTGGGAGCTTGCTCAGCAACAAAGGGAGCACGTAACACCACAGAGGGCAGGGCTGGTTTATTATGATGTGTGGCTATGGCGCGCTAAAATGCAAATCTTTCTGGTTGTGGTGTCAATGTGTCTCCTTCTGTAAATGCAGGTTCACTTAGGTTTAAGAGGGCGCACAAATCAAAAGATAGAACTCATAAATTTTTTTCCACTATAATTTAACTTTATTGATATTAGATTCAAGTGTTACCCCCGCACCACTAATATTTTACCAGATTGTGATTTTTAAAATATAGATAAAGAGATACGGTACACCAAACCTTATCTTCAGTTATTATCCTGAAATATCACCTTATGGCCACAGTGAAGGCTCCAAAACACACAACACACACAGACTACTAGTCAAAAGTGTGGACACACCTGATTTAAGGCTTTTCTTTATTTTTGTGACTATTTACATCGTAGATTCTCACTGAAGGCATCAAAACTATGAATGATCATGAATGAAATTTTGTAGTAAGCAAAATGTGTGAAAAAAGTCAAAACACACTTTATATTTTAGATTCTTCCAAATAGCCACCCTTTAGCTTTCATTACTGCCTTACACACTGTTGGCATTCTCTTGATGAGCGTTGTGAGTTAGCCACCTGAAATGGTTTTGCAACTGTCTTGAAGGA